TGTCTTAGTCAAGTGAAAAATTGTCTAACTGAAGTGAAAAACACTGTACCTCGCGGTTGTCTCTTGCGTAATCTTTTCTTCCAGTTTACTCACTGCTACTGTCCTCTCTGCCTTATTATCCCGTCCGAATTCCTTACCGTTGCATTCTACCTTCTGAAAATATCCCAGTGCGCTATTCTCGTTGGTCTGCTCCGGACCGATCCTTTGCTCCTCTTTTATCACTTCATCGGTTCCCTATTCACTCCATGACTTCAAAATTTGCCAATGAAATGAAAACGATGAAACACAACCCATTTGTTCAATAACCTCGCCAGGTAACATCAGCATTCAACAATGAAATGAAGTGGAATCGTATGCAATCAAAATTGGAATGAGTCGGTCTCGTGTGGAATCCATAAAACGATCCGATTCTCTGCCTCGTAGTCTCCCCAGTCCGTGCAGTCTGAACAACAGGCCGACTACATGCTTGACAGTTTAGTGGTTCTCTGGGACGCCCCATGAGAACAATATAGGTGAAGAAAGAATCGATGTTGGAAACACATTTTTCACAACTCAACACCTTCAAGAACGGACCAACTTCCCGTTTCGATTGTTCAAGACAGTATTTTAATAAGGCGTCACTGGAGGACGCTCTAAAAATGTGAAAACCAGAAAAAAAGCAAGTAAAAGGCAAAGGTCAGCGACATGGTCAGCGCACAAAGTGGATCAGACGAATACTCAGAGGTTCGTGTCTATTTCAAGAGGTATTTTTTCCTTTTTATCATCACCGGGTCGATATAGGGAGCATGACATGCCCCTAGGGCGTGACTTATTTAGTAGCACCGGATTTCATGGAGCAGCATGGTGCATACACGAGGAAATAAGATCCAGAGGAGTGTACCAAGCGTTAGCATGGAACGGTATGGCGAAGTCAGGAGATGTAAGAGCTGAAAGGTACATAGCAGTGGGTAGCATAGAGTTGCATGATGTACACGTGTGAGAAGAAAGTTAAGACAAGAATAGCAGCGGATAGCGTGGAGTAGCATGGTGCAAACCCTTGAAGAGAGGGTTCAGAGGAAAGTAGCAGAGCATAGCAGGGAATAATATGGGGCAGACCCGCGAGAAGAGGACTTGGGAGAGCAGCAGTGGGTAGCATGGAGTAGCATGGTACAGACACGGTAGAATAAGGTACAGAGGATAAAAGCAATGAGTAGCATAGTGCAGAGAGGGGAGAGTACGGTATATATTAGAGTTGCATGAGTCGTATGGTGTATACAGGAGAGGAGCTAGATATATTTCGCCGAAAGCAAATGGAGGCTCTACCCGCTAATCTTCGCCACATTTCATTCATCCAACTTCGAAATATATCATAGCTGTCATTTTGGTACGATAGAGACATTTATAATAATAATACTAAATTCCCGGAAAACTAGACTATGTTCGGAGACGGAAGGATATCAAGGCGCCTTCACACGCAATGATTTTGCTAATGCGTTTTCAGGGTGAAATTTTGACTGCTGGAGTAATTTTATTACTGGTTGGGACTTTATTGAGGAGGGTTCGTGAGGTAATTTTCGCAAGGAGGCGAGAAAAGGGTTTCGAAGCCAATATTCTCCGAGAATTACGGGATGAAGATCCTTATCGTTTCCGTGCTCTTTCGAGGATGAACACTGACATCTTTATGGAAATACAGACACTCTTTGAACACAAATCGAGAAGCTTTAGGGTGGGTTTGGGGCCTTTAAGCGTAGGATGCCAGAAGCGACGCTTCACCCGTACCCCGGGCAAAACCTGTCGAAGCGGCTGCTCCCAGCCGTCCTATTGTCCGCTATGGATCCGTCACCTACGAGGGCTGGGAGGGAAATGGATGTTTTCGCGGAAGACTGGTAACCCAACTCACCCGGAAAGCTGCGCATGCGCACTGAGTCATGTTCTCCAGAATATCTGCCATTTCCCCAAAGTGCTTAAGCGAATTAAAAGTGATGAAAAAGGGTGAGAAATTTTGCAACAGGCAATCGCCTCATATTCGGCACACCTCGCCGGTCAATAGATTTCAGTTCTTGCTTCAAAAAAGCTGGAGAAACTTCCTCTTCGTTCATTCCGCAAACTATTTAAGGCGTTCCTGACGTGTTTGTGTGTGTGCCATAATATTCTGTAGTCTGACTCGTATCGTCGTGCGCCAGTGGGATCCACAATGAAATACGAGATGATTCAAGAACAGGAACAAAATTATATTGCACACAAAAAGAGATAGTTGAACAGAAGAAGGATCCGCCCGGGTGGCAAGTGGTAGCTACACGTAAATACGCACTAAACTAGCACGAGTCTCAGTGGCGGTCGAACATTTCTACTCCTCCGTCCAGGTTAAGGAGGAAGTCTCTTGGAGGTGGGAGGTGAAGGGAGGGTGGCAAGTGGTAGTAGCTACACGTAAATACGCACTAAACTAGCACGAGTCTCATTGGCGGTCGAACATTTCTACTCCTCCGTCCAGGTTAAGGAGGAAGTCTCTTGGAGGTGGGAGGTGAAGGGGAGGAGTCGCCTCCTCCCCCTCACATCCTTTGGTCACCGCCTCGAAGCCCAAACCATCGACAAGTTCACGACCCGATAACATTTCAGGCAAGACAGCTTCCTCGTCGTTTTCTGGTCTGTGAAGCAAACTTTGCATCGAAGATTTCAACGAAAACACGTGAAGCTCTGGTCGCGTGGCTTCATCGAGAACGGTATTCGAAAACTGCAGAGATTACGTCACAACCTCACGTCCGTTGGAAGAAAATGCTCGACTTCCTCCAGCACGACGCTATTGTTCCACGTGCTGATGCCCGTCACGACAGTCTCAAATTTTTGCTTCTGATCGATGTCGTGGACAAAAACATTTGCAAGATATTCTGAAAAAAAAAATTGGAAATGCAGGAACCTCCACTTCCCGCATGACGTCCATGCTGATTTTTTGTTGACCGAAGAGGCTTGTCATGAAAATCAAGTTCAACTATTGGAACACTGTTTGAACTGCAATTTTCGCAGTGTTCCAATCTACTTCTTCACAAGAAGAACATGACTCAAATTTAAATTTGGATTTCCATGATATGAGCCTGTGAAACCATTGGCATGCCCAGCCACTTCTGATGCCTGCATCAAGAAGCCATTCCCCTCCCGATCGGGGTCTCTGCCAAGTCTCCCCGACCCAGAATGACCTCGTTTCGAAGGGGTGACGTCTTCACGGGCGGGAACGAGGCGAGCCTTTCCATCAGGGTCGTGTCTCGACGGCGAGGGGGTCGCTTAGCGGCGCGAATGAACTCGCTCCATTTTCCTGTGGAGAAGATGCCACATCGCGGATGATTCTCGTGCTGACGTTTCGATGCTTACATTCTGCTGGCATCTGAATGCGTCCGAGTCTTCTGCCTCGGTTCATGACGCATTCAGAAATGGGACAGAGTGGAAAACCATCGGCACCCCCACCGGATCACCGAAGGCACCTACCGACGAAGAAGACGTTCTTCTTGGCCCTGGTCACGGCCGTGTAAAGCGTCTGGCTGGTCTGGTGCTCCTCGTCGAAGGCCATCACGCACAGGACGTTCTCCGCCTCCGAGCCCTGCCGAGAACCACGGTCCGATCAGATCGAAGACGAAGAGAACGAAGAGACTCGGGGACTGGAGGGACCTGGAACGCGTGCAAGCCGAGGGCGTATCCGTGTTGCAGCCTGGTCGCTCTCCGAAATTCCTCCGCGTTCACCAGAAACTGCCGTCCGCTCAGATCGTCCAGTTCGTAGCACTTCTGCCCGTCCTTGCTGATGCTCTTCTGGAATCAAGTGAGATTTCCAGAGAACACTTGGGATCGACAATGCAGTCTTCATTTTTTTTCCTTTGGGTACTAACTGAGAAAGTAAATAATACTGAAAAAGAAATACCTACTTAGAAATGAAATCATCTAATACATATAGACGATCGTTACTGACTGACTGATTGACACTAATTATAACCAAGCTCTAGAGAAGTTAGAAATCTGAAACTTGGTACACACGTACCTTTTTTGGGATGCAGAGTTCAGAAAAAATCCGACTTTCGAGGTACATACCCTAGGGGTACTTTTTTTTTGGGGGGGGGGGGGGGATACGTTTTTAAAGTTATATATTGTGACAGATGGCATTGAGAGGCTTGAGAGCATGTCTGGTGTAGTGGTGGTACACCAGAACTGCAATCAGGAGGCCTCGGTTCAATTCCCGGACTCTCCTTGACTTTCTTTCGGTCCTTAATGCCTTCCAGGTCGCGTTATTCATTCCCCCTCCGTAACAATACTTTTGCTTTAGTAAAACGGAGAGACATGAAAAGCTGAAACTTTGCATGAATGTGACTACTGAGACGAAGAGTTAAATAAAAATGTTAAGTCTCGACATATCCTCTGGGGGAATTTTTTCGAGGGGCGATGTTTTGAAAAAAAAAAAACTGTTGTGGCGAATTGGACAGAAATGGAAAGGTGAAACTTGGCACACGAATAACTGACATGATATTACTGAGCTGATGGAGTATTTAGCTTTAATGGGGCATCCCCTCCGGGCATAGCTTTTGGGTGGGTCGGCTTTTCCAAATACATTTTTTTTTCCGCCTGCAAAAAAAGGGGAAACGTATAAAGCTGAAACTGGGTGGCATGGAGTTCCCTGAGTCTACATTTCAAAAGAAAAATAATTTTCGTTAAAACCCATTAGGCCACTTTTTTCAGTCCCAATTTCCTCATTTCTTTTTGATCCAACGAAACAGAGACAGAAAATTTAAACTACTTTCAAAAGTACCTATTTGATGGCTAAGCAGAGGAAAAATCCTAATTTCGAAATATGTCTCCTTAGCGTAGATTATCGGAGGGAAGTATTTCAAAACGTATTTTCCACCCTGACAAAAAGGGACACAAGATAATATTTCAAGTTAGGCACGCAGAATCATAGAGGTAATGATTTTGATGAAAATCAAGACTTTCGACCCCATATGTCACGTATTTCAATGGGGACGTATTTTAAATACGTGTTTCCCATTTCGCAAAAAATGAAGGAATTAATCACTATCCAAGGCGCGACCGTAGCTAGTAATTAATATAATCCATCAAAAGGATGGAAAGAGAAATACCTACTTGGGAAATTTTGAAGAGGGATCCATTAGTGAATTGCACCGTCTTCCGCCCGATTTCGTGTCTGCATCGCGAAGCGGCCTCGGCCTCGGGCACGCCGACGGCGTTGTTCCTGCGGCAGACCACCTTGTCGCCCCTTTCGAAGCGAGTCGATGCGGGCCGATCCGCGTCCTTCGTCTTGTGCCCGTTGTACGATTCGCAGGCGAGTTTGTTTATATGCCCGCAGGTGAAGCTGGTGGGGCAGGGAAGAATGATCGTGTATGTTGCCCTTCGGCCCGGAAAGGATCGGTATGATAAGATTCCTCCCCCTCCAAAAAAAAAAAAAGAGAGAATGCATGCAAATGTTTCTAATCTACACCTTCTTCAACGGGCTAAAGGCAAGGATGGGATGAAGTACGTCTGCACTTACTCGTACAGAAACTGTGCTAGAGAGTACAACTAAGCTAACTCATAAAACTTGTTTTCTATCTCCAATCCTTCCAACAGCATTTTCAAGGATTAGTTGAAATCTCATGCCGTTCATACCTCAACTACACGCCGCAACCAGTGCAACCATAGCCCTCATGCTGCCTCAATCACAAGGCACCTGTCAAGCCGAATTCGATGACCATGCTGATCACTGAACTAGACACGAAAAATCCACAAGAAGCACGGATGACAATGCAAAATAGTGGGCTAGAGACCCGTCGAACGCGACGATCTGCGAGGCGAACGCGTCCCTGATCCCCAGCCGATCCCGGACGGCGAGGATCCTCGCGCCCAGCGAACGGACGAAGTGGAGCCTCTCCCCGAGGTTCTCCCTGTTGAGGCCTCCGAGGAGGAGCAGCTCGGGGATCGAGGTCGCCCTCTCCCGCCGGGGGATGGATGCGTCCTCCTCCAACGGGACGAAGTGGAACCCGCCCTCCCTGCACGACGCGACAGAAGCAGGCTTTCATGCACGTGGTAGCACCTGCCTTCATCGTCGTCCGATCAGCGAAGGTCGCTGGTACGTCATCCCTTTTCATCGCGTCTATGGTAATTCCTTGGGATTCTCGTGACTTTGCGCCCCATATCACTCTTCAATGGCGCCCATTATGCATTATTTATTATTATTCTTATGCATGACTCGATTCCAAAGGAGGCATTCTCTCACCCGTCGGTTTTGTAATTTTCACTTATGTTATAACGTGTAAAATATATCATATATATGGTATGATATGGTAAATTGATATGAAATATAAAACGATACATAAAACGTAAAATGTTAATTAGTCAAAGAGCTCAAAATGCAAACAAGTATTTTATAGTGGCCTTAATTAAGGTCTGCAAGGGTTATTCTCTGCTTCCTTTAAATAAAAAAAAGTTCCTACAAAATTATTTTCCTTGAAATGAAATGAATGAAATGAAAAAAAGGCACTATTGCCAAATCTTCAGCAACCCACACGGCAGCTGTGCCGGTGTTTTTTTATTATTAAAAACAATTAGCACACAAATATGTAATTATCATTTTTTTTTTGGTCAGATAACACATTGGAACATTTTTGCACTTTATTTTCAGAAAATACCGTATTTACTCCAGTATAGTTCGCCACCGTGTATAAGATGCACCCCCGCTTTTGAAGTCCCAATTTGTAAGGCGCACCCCCCTATTTTGTAGCGAAAAGTGTCGAACATGGGAGATGAATAAGGGGTAAAGCCGGTCTTGGGGTAGGTCGAACCTCGTTTCGTATTCACTGTCCTGGCCTTTATCGAGGGAGGGGACATAGTATCCCTAACGTTTGTTTTATCATCCGTGAAAACGGATGGAAATATACGGCGAAATAACACAGCTGCAGAGAAATCCATGCGATTCAGGAAGCGAAGGAGTTGGGCATTCGTGCAATAGGTATGACATCGAGGAAAGTTGTATACAGAAGCGGATGGAGGCGAGGGCGAAATTAAGCCCGGCTCTAAAGAATCTCATGACCTTTCGTGGGGAAAAAGGAATCATTTCCGGTAATCAAGAAGGGAGTGACCAAGAGTGATGGAGACGCGAACCCATACGATTTCGAGAGCAAACTGTATCTCCCATCGAAAATTCAATCCATCGTGGGGTTGAACGACGCGATTCATAAGCAAGTAGGATTTTCTGTTCGTCGGAAAACGTCAGCTGCTTTCCATGAGAAATTATTGTCTCTGGAACGGCCCCTCGGAGGAGGATGTGAGCTCCGCGAATCAATTTTCCACGCTGCCAGACACCTCAGATTCCGATGCCGATACCGAATGAAGTCCGCGAATCGACGTAGCCACTCCCTGTTTACTGTTTTATAATTATATTTCTCCTGTTCTGACTGACTGCAGACAGTTTCCGCTTCAAATTAGTGACCAATGAGTTATAGGTACGATGAAAATTTTTTTATCGAAAAAGAATTTTTTTTCCTCAAGTATAAGACGCACCCCCTCATCGAACACAATAAAATATGCACGCAAAAAAAGCCTTATACGCGAGTAAATACGGTACTTTTCAATTCATATATATTTTGGGTCAGTTTTCAAATGTTTTAATCGATCGTTTTCCCAGAATATTTGCAAGATATTGGCACTTCGCTCGTAAAGACGTGAATTTCCTCATGATAACCCACAAGTACACCACCAAAACTTTATACTGCAATCGGTTAAGGTCCAATTCCATCTCCTATCTCCACGGGGGGGCGGGGCGGGGCGGGGACATCGAGAAAAGAGGAAAAGGCGACTCACGGATCGATCTGGATGGACTCGGGCCGCATGCGCGCGATCATCTCGGCGTTGCGGACGATGAGTCTGCCCTCGGGGCGGTGGTCTGTCCTCAGGGTCAAGGCCCAGTTGGTCCCTTCGAGGGCGAAGTACAGGTCCCTGCCGCGGGAAGCACAGGTGCAACCTCATTCTCATGCATTACCTTAATGAATGAATGAATGAGTTTATTGTGTTCAATGTCTTAGACATTATTACACAAATATTTGACTTTTCTTTAGTAACTTTTAGGTTCTCATAATTTCTATTCTGAGATCGCGGGCTAGTTTAAGGAATTTCACCATGGATTTCATTGTATTAATATGTGATGATTGCATTAAAATTGAAAATTTCTGTTTCTCGGGGTGGTCATGGTAATACCGTGGTATGAGATCGTTTCTGTATGACGAGTATACAGGGCAGATCAGCACGAAGTGAAATTCGTCTTCAATCTCTCCGCGGTTGCACAGTTTGTGCACGGTCTGTCATGGTAATCTAAATCTTCATATCGACCTTGTTGTTCTCTCGGCCCGAACATCCCTCCGCGAAAATTGCTTCGGATAAAGGTATCGTCAGGTGTCGATATATCCAAATATTTTTCTTCGTTTGGAGTGGTTTTGAAAATCCTGTCGGAGCGGAATCTATCATGGGAGTGAAGCTCTTCAGCCCATGCCTGAAAATCGATGTCGCGTGCCCGTCGTCTGAACGTGCTAAAAAAAAGCCACGGGTGCATGGAATCGCCTGGGCATACCACACTTCTCCAAAGCCATACGAACACAATAATCTCCGGATGTTTCCGGTCCAGCAAGCGAGGTCTCGTTCACACCATCCTAGTTGCCATATATAGTTGCCTTTTTTTTTTGCAAGTCTGGTGTCTGGCATGGAGATTAAACGCTGCCAGTACTTGAGCGCCCGTATATATTGGTCGCAAATTAAGTTGTGCCGACCTAGTGCCCCACGCGAACCTCATTCTCATGCATTACTTCATTTTTAATTTATCTATTTTTCTTACAGGCCAACGTAAAACAGGACCACGGAAAGCGTGCACGAAATCGACCGGCTCGAAAAGAAAAAGCGAGCCAACCTGAAGAAATTGCCCGGTCGAACGGATGGGAGCAGGTTCACATCTCCGAGGAGAATCACCCGCTGCAGGGGAGCCTCGGCGATGCTTAAGGCACGCAACACGTCGTGGAACACCTTAAAAAAAAAAAATCAATTTCGGGTACGATGCCAACCGAAAAACTTGGAAGCGGGGAAGGAACATCTCACCGTGACGGGGACCGTGCTGCTCTCGTCGACGACGAGAATCTCGGTCGACGCGAACCTCCAACCCTTCGATCCGGCCTCCTTCGCTTCCCGATGAGACGCCAAGATCTGTCGAGGGAAAAGCGCATGCCTCCTATGGGCATCCTCAGCCGATCGGGCGACGGGAGGAAAACGGCATTCACCGAATGGAGGGTGAACGCGGGATGCGACATCCTCTTCCTCAGGATGGACGCAGCTTTCCCCGTCGGAGCCGCGAGGAGAACCCCACGGATCGACCTCTCATCGACCATCTATAACAAAGAGGATGCCGTGGATCGATCGACTGTTGGCGCATCGAACGACAAAACCGAAACGCTCTTCGTTTTTATTCTATTCCACTCCGAGGAAATGAATTGCAAAACCTTCCATGGGTGATTCTGCAGAATTTCGCGGCAAGTCGTTTGGATCGTGAAATTAGCTCATGCATATCGAGGCGGCCAGAATAATTGCATCCACCTGCAAAATCTGGGCTTTAGAAATCCGTAATGAGTAGATTAGCCATCCCACGCAGTAACCATGGCAACGTGAATGCTCCAAAGTTATATATCCCGAAGATTTCCAAAGTCGAGAAAAAAAAATAATAATGCTTTTTGGGGGGGAAAAGGCGGCGATGATATTGAAGTAAGTGGACCAGGTATTACATGATTATTCATTCATTCGTGATTATTAACTTCCATTTTGGAATTACTTGGAATGGCTGCACGTGAATGAAACTTTAACGGAACAAGTTCCATTTCAAAGTGAGTTTTTAGGAAATTAATATGCAAATTGCAATCAGATATTTGTCGACTTTTCTCGATCTTTTATGGAGGTTGAAGAATAGCATTTGCAATAGTTGCCTGGGTTTTGACGGCATTTGCCAGAGGATTTTGCTTCATGAAAATAAATAATTACTTCGAAATATATCATGAAAAAAAATAATTACTACTAAATCAAAAGAAAGTAACATTTCTTTTTATTTGCATGGATTGAGATTCCTGCTTTTGTCAATAAAATTCATGCTGCCGATTTTATGATGCCTTCTTCCATTCAGAGAGGTTTGGAATGAGAAGTCCCATTGGATTCATCGAACACGAAAGGGTGAAACCTTGGAATCGGGAGGAGGCAGCACCTCCTCGAGGACGGAGGCGACCACCTCCGTCTTCCCCCGGCCGCTGCAACCGTCGAGGACGAGCAGCGGCTGCCGCGAGATCCGCCTCGCCGCCTCCATCTGGTCCGCATCCTCCCGAAATCTCGCGAACGAGTCGCTAAAAAAAAAAAGAAGGCGGTCAGATTCGCGGTCGACAGTACCCCTCCCATCCCCCTCCAGAGGAGGAACATCCCCTCTCACCCGTCGAGATCGACGGAAAGGGAGGAAGCGCATCCCCCGATGGCAAGGCTCCGAAGGAGGTCTGCCGTCCCGGTCTCGGCCGCGTGGAGATGCCGCAGGAAGATCCGTCGGTCGCTTCCCTCCGGCTCGACGACGATCACGCCGTGCGCATCCAGAGCTCTAAATGTTAAGCGAGGATGAGCAAATCGAAGGAATCCATCGATTCGATCTGGACTCTGAATTTTTTATCTATTTTTCTCGGGATTTTCCTCGTCTGAATTCGCCCTGGCATCCACTTCACCCTTTGACCGAACACCAATTTAGGTACCTTGCCACGGTGCAGATATGAACTGTTCGTGTTCTAAAAAAAAAAAACGGAATTCCTCATTTTTGAGTGCAACTAAATGAGAATAAAAAATAATAAAAAAAATCGGGGTTACGAGGCGCTTCTCGGCAACACGCATCCCAATCTCCAAACTCCTCCACGCAACTCCTCCACGCCCCCAACGCATCAAGCCCCGACATCACGCACCCCAAAGCCCCAAAAGGAAGACAAAATGACCCACGAGATGGCCGCGTCCCAATCCAGCCCACCGATCCCCGTCTCACTGGTACTGTCCTCTCTGCCTTACTCTCCCGTTCGAATTCCTTACCGTTGCATTCTACTGTACCTTCTGAAAATATTCCAGTGCGCTATTCTCGTTGGCCTGCTCCGGACCTATCCTTTGCTCCTCTTTTATCACTTCATCGGTTCCCACTTCACTCCGTGACTTCAAAATTTGCCAATGAAATGAAAACGATGAAACACAACCCATTTGTTCAATAACCTCGACAGGTAACTTCAGCATTCAACAATGAAATGAAGTGGAATCGTATACAATATAAATTGGAATGAGTCGGTCTCGTGTGGAATCCATAAAACGATCCGATTCTCTGCCTCGTAGTCTCCCCAGTCCGTGCAGTCTGAACAACAGGCCGACTACATGCTTGAAAGTTTAGTGGTTCTCTGGGACGCCCCATGAGAACAACATAGGTGAAGAAAGAATCGATGTTGGAAACACATTTTTCACAACTCAACACCTTCAAGAATGGACCAACTTCCCGTTTCGCTTGTTCAAGACAGTATTTTAAGAAGGCGTCACTGGAGGACGCTCTAAAAAATGTGAAAACCAGAAAAAAAGCAAGTAGAAGGCAAAGGTCAGCGACATGGTCAGCGCACAAAGTGGATCAGACGAATACCCAATGGTTCGTGTCTGTTTCAAGAGGTATTTTAGGCTTTTCATCATCACTGGGTAGATATAGGGAGCATGACATGCCCCTAGGGCGTGACTTATTTAGTAGCACCGGATATCATGGAGCAGCATGGTGCAGACACGAGGAAATAAGATCCAGAGGAGTGTACCAAGCGTTAGCATGGAACGGTATGGCGAAGTCAGATGTAAGAGCTGAAAGGTAGATAGCAGTGGGTAGCATACAGTTGCATGATGTACACGTGTGAGAAGAGAGTTAAGACAAGAATAGCAGCAGATAGCATGGAGTAGCATGGTGCAAGCCCTTGAAGAGAGGGTTCAGAGGAAAGTAGCAGAGTATAGCAGGGAGTAGTATGGTACGTACACGGTAGAATAAGGTACAGAGGATAATAGCAATAATTAGCATGGTGCAGAGAGGGGAGAATACGGTATATTGTATATTAGAGTAGCATGAGTCGTATGGTGTATACAGGAGAGGAGCTAGATATATTTCGCCGAAAGCAAATGGAGCCTCTACCCGCTAATCCTCGCCACATTTCATTCATACAACTTCGAAATATATCATAGCTGTCATTTTGGTACGATATAGGCATTTATAATAATAAAAAATTCCCGGAAAACTAGACTATGTTCGGACACGGAAAGACATCAAGGCGCCATCACACGCAATGATTTTGCACATACATGACCGCTCCCATATGAGTGAATTTGTTGTGAGCGTGTGACTGGACGCAAGGAGAAGACCTTGGGAGTTTTCAGGGTGAAATTTTGACTGCTGGAGAAATTTTGTTACTGGTTGGGACTTTATTGAGTAGGGTTCGTGAGGTAATTTTCGCAAGGAGGCGAGAAAAGGGTTTCGAAGCCAATATTCTCCGAGAATTACGGGATGAAGATCCCTATCGTCTCCGTGCTCTTTCGAGGATGAACACTGACACCTTTATGGAAATACTGACACTCTTCGAACACAAATCGAGAGGCTTCAGGGAGGGTTTGGGGCCTTTAAGCGTAGGATGCCAGAAGCGGCGCTTCAAGCGTACCCCTGGCAAAACCTGTCGAAGCGGCTGCTCCCAGCCGTCCTATTGTCTGCTATGGATCCTTCACCAGCGAGGACTGGGAGGGAAATGGATGTTTTCGCGGAAGACTGGCACCCCGACTCACGCGGAAAGCTGCGCATGCGCACTGAGTCGTGTTCTCCAGAATATCTGCCGTTTCCCCAAAGTGCCTAAGCGAATTAAAAGTGATGAAAAAGGGTGAGAAATTTTGCAACAGGCAATCGCCTCAGATTGGGCACACCTCGCCGGTCAATGGATTTCAGTTCCTGCTTCAAAAAAGCTGGAGAAACTTCCTCTTCGTTCATAACGCAAACTATTTTAGGCGTTCCTGACGTGCTTGTGTGTGTGTCATAATATTCTGTAGTCTGACTCGTATCGTTGTGCGCCAATGGGATCCACAATGAAATACGAGATGATTCAAGAACAGGAACAAAATTATATTGCACACAAAAAGAGATAGTTGAACAGAAGAAGGATCCGGCTGGGTGGCAAGTGGTAGTAGCTACACGTAAATACGCACTAAACTAGCACGAGTCTCATTGGCGGTCGAACATTTCTACTCCTCCGTCCAGGTTAAGGAGGAAGTCTCTTGGAGGTGGGAGGTGAAGGGGAGGAGTCGCCTCCTCCCCCTCACATCCTTTGGTCACCGCCTCGAAGCCCAAACCATCGACAAGTTCACGACCCGATAACATTTCAGGCAAGACAGCTTCCTCGTCGTTTTCTGGTCTGTGAAGCAAACTTTGCATCGAAGATTTCAACGAAAACACGTGAAGCTCTGGTCGCGTGGCTTCATCGAGAACGGTATTCGAAAACTGCAGAGATTACGTCACAACCTCACGTCCGTTGGAAGAAAATGCTCGACTTCNGCATCCCAATCTCCAAACTCCTCCACGCAACTCCTCCACGCCCCCAACGCATCAAGCCCCGACATCACGCACCCCAAAGCCCCAAAAGGAAGACAAAATGACCCACGAGATGGCCGCGTCCCAATCCCCGCACAGGCGGACTCCCTCGTCGCGACCAGGACGGAGGAGGCACCGGAGGCGAGACTCGGAGACGAACGTGTGGCCCCCCTCCGCGCAGGTCCCCTTCAGCACCTCGTAGACGCACAGCACATCCTTGTGGAGGGCGTCGAGGGACTCGTAGAAGCCGCACCTCCTCAGGTTCCCTGGATTCCCCTCCAGCCCACCGATCCCCGTCTCCTTTTGCACCAACTACGAATCCCGAGACAAATTCCGTGAGACACCGTGGCAAATTTCGTGACACTGACAAATTCCGTGACACCGTGACAAATTCCGTGACACCGTGACAAATCCCTTGACAACGTGACAAATTCCGTGACACCGTGACAAATTCCGTGACACCGTGACAAATTCCGTGACACCGTGACAAATTCCGTGACACCGTGACAAATTCCGTGACACTGACGAATCACGTGACATCGTAACAAGTTCCGTCACATCGGGGCGAATCACGTGAGGCTCATCCGAGATCATCTATGCGTGAAAAATGCCTCGACCTTCTTTGGTTTAAAGAGGAAAACTGGATCGAGGAGTAAAAAGAAGATCGAGGACGCCGACGAGGGCTTGAGGACGTCGTGCCAGATTCACATCTGGCACGACGTTCTCATGCGGAAACTGGTCCTCATCCATGAATGGATCTGCCGCATTCTAGGAGCGTTCAGAACAGGATCGACAAAAATTTCTCCGCGTTCCAAATTTTATGAGCTGATTTGATTCTATTAATTGGTTGATTAGGACTTTTCGAAGGCATTTCGGTTCACGAGAGCATAAATGCTAAATGCGAAAAAATAAAAATAAAAATAACGGAAAAAAAATAATGGAATATTCTGTTAGTGGCAGTGAGGAGCGAAAGGACTGACATCTCGGAATCCCAGCTTCCAGGGCTCGTCCCTGGCCAGGGCCTCCAGGGCCGAGAGGGCGCGGGACGCGACGACGCGCCAGGAGGCGTCGCCCGCCGCCGTCGCTTCGAAGCCTGCCGCCGGGAAAAAAAAAAATTAAGAAATTCGTGAATATAAATAATTAATAAATGAATAAATTCGCGAATATGTATAATTCAACCGAGAAGCTTTGAAAAGATGGAGAGTGCCGGAAGTCGATCGATCCGTGAAGAACATCCAGAAACAGGACGGGAAAAAAAATCATCCGAGCGTCCAAAATACTGGATCGAATTGATTTACTTTCGAAATAAAAATTGGAAAAGCGCTTGAAGAACTGCTTCAAAAATGCTGAAAAAAAAGAATTCATAAAAAAGTAGAGGAAAGTGCTGACAGTCTGAATTGGGAAAGGCGTCGGAGGGATGTCGGTTTCCCGGGGAGAGGGCCTCGACGGTGGGGCAGGTCTTCAGCCGGATCCGGGTCCGGAGGATCTCGTCCACCTTCTCCGGGAAGAGGACCGGCCCGTACCTGAAGAAATTGGGGCAGGCGATCGCGGCCAGGACGGTTCGACCGGCGCCTGTTCGCGGGAAACGAAAAAAAAAATTTTTTTTCGCGGAAGGATGCAGAGGAGGCTGAGAAAAAAATAAACTCGCAGGTCGAGTTGAGGAGGGAGGCGACCTCCACCAGGCATCCCAACTCGGCCGAGCCCTCGCAGCATCCGGACGCGTTCCGCCCCGCGACCGCCGCGTGCCACCTCCGCAGCAGCGCCGCGATCCTCTCGAAGGCGAACGCCCGATCGCCGAGGAAGCGGAGGAAGGCATCCACCGCGGGCGCGACGTCCCTCGCCGCGGCTCGCCCGCGGTCCCGCTCCCACGCGCACCGGCGGAAGAACACCCTCAGGCTCCCCGACCGAGCCCCGAACCCGCACGTGTGCAGGAAGTAACCTGGAGCAGCGTAACGTCATCGGTGTTTCGGAACGTGCCGGCTGCTGTAACTCGCACATTCGCGTAAAATCCACTTCGATTTATCTCTTTGCAGAAGCAGGCGATCAGTTTTGAAAAACGATTTCCCCAATATTGCTCGCTCCGCCTCGGGAGTCGAGGACAAGTGGCATGCCAAAAGACTATGCCAAAAAAAAAGAGCGATATTGGCCAACGCCTAAAAGGCGATGCAACACACCAAGCTGTCATCTTCGCGAGAGATATATAATAAGTCATAAGTGAACTTACTCCACGATTCTCTTATTTCAGACAAAACGGAATTTTGCGAGATGAAATCTGTTGATTCTCCTTCCCCTCGAGCAAAAAACACCAGCTTCATCATTTTTTACCGCTTCCTGTTCCTTCCTGCAAAAACTTTTACCCACTTCTGCCTGACTCCTGCACAAAAGCCATTTTTTTAGCCAGTTTACCAGGGGATGGGGGGGGGGAGGAGGGGGGGGGGGAGGAATTACCCCTGACGTGATTGTGGAATCCCCGCTGCTTCTTGAATCTCTCCCGGTTCCACTCCAGCTCGACCCCCAGCCAGTGATACGTCCAGGGGAAGCAGTCCATCGCCGACTGCACCGACGGCGACCCCAGCACCGACAGTCGGACTAAGCAGCCATTTCCACATTTTCAATTCTCTTGGACCGGATATTTAACGGGGCATGTCTAACGTAGAAAACATTTTGTGGAATTTACTTAACTGATATTATAATCTATTATTTATTTATTTTTATTGCTCGATGATGATTTACCGTCCTGCCAGCAACGGACGCACTTCCGTTTCTGGTCAGAGATTCCGTCAAACTCAGGGAATTTCGATCATTTGCCTCACCTTCAGAGAACTAAAAGCACAATTGAATCAAAATCATAAAAGCATGGAAAAAAGTTTGCCAGGTTACCAGACAATAAGTCGCACTACAGAGATATTTCAACTTATTCAAGTCAAATCTGAAGGCTAGAGACAATTCTTCATGACCTTTCATCAGACTTTTCATCAGACTTTTCATCAGACTTTTCATCAGACTTTTCATCAGACTTTTCATCAGACTTTTCATCAGACTTTTCATCAGACTTTTCATCAGACCTTTCATCAGACCTTTCATCAGACTTTTCATCAGACCTTTCATCAGACTTTTCATCAGACTTTTCATCATTAACCCTGCATTAGTGCGGATGGTCTGCAAGTCCAAAAACGCATTCCAAAAACGAGCTGCCGATGCGAATGTCGCCTCCAAGTCCCAAAACGCCCCACGGGGGGACCAAGTGGCCCGGCGTGAATGGCTCGTCGGCAACGGAGCCGAAAACCGAACGACTTCGGCGCCAGGCCCCGTGCCACGCGAGCCTCCGCGCAAAGGGGAGAACGCGCAGAAGAAACTCGTGAGCTCCCCGCGACTCGCGGCGAGACCGACCGAAAGCGTGGTGGATCCGCTTCCCCCGGATGCCGTCCTCGGCCGCATCGAACAGGTCATCCTCCTCCTCCTCCTCCTCCTCGGATGCGTGCGGCACTCGGTAGTTGAACACCGCATGCACCATCCTGCTTCACCTCCTGTCACCTCTTTTCACCTGCCAAGAGGGAGGCAGAGGGAATTACCTCTGGTTTCTTAACATCGGGACTGGCCGACGCGATTGAGAGCTGGTTGCATCAATACAGAGTGACCCAGAAGTAATAGGGCAGTTAGTGGCACAATGAGCAGTCACTACGATTATTTTATTTTATTATTCTATTATTTTATTATTCTATTATTCTATTATTTTATTATTCTATTATTTTATTATTCTATTATTTTATTATTCTATTATTTTATTATTCTATTATTTTATTATTCTATTATTCTATTATTCTATTATTTTATTATTCTATTATTTTATTATTCTATTATTTTATTATTCTATTATTTTATTATTCTATTATTTTATTATTCTATTATTTTATTATTCTATTATTTTATTTTGATTATTAATTGATTTTTATTTTAATTTCAGAATCACTAATCATAAAGGCTGCAGGTATGGAGCATCGCAATTACCAACGATACACAATCGAAGAGTGTTTGTGTACCAACCCCCCCCCCCCCCTCCTTACCCACCACTGAGGGGCACACTAACGTTAGGCAAAGGCCTACCCAGGTGAAAATGTTCTATAGAAACCTACAGGTATAGAAGTCAATAGGGTCACTTATAGAAGCTGATGGAGTTCTTCCCTCTATAGAAGGATTATATAGAAATCTATAGCGAATACTATAGAATATTCTATGGAGATTCTATAGAGGTTTCTACAATCTTCTTCAGAGATTCTGTAGAATCCCTTCTGTAGATTTCTAAAAAAAAAAATTCTACATCATTTTCTACAGCGCCTAAAGCTGGAGCTAAGCTAGAAGTACCTCGTCCACGCTCTGAGAAAGGCTATTTTGTTTTAATAGGTATTTAAAAAAAAGAAGTAATTAAATACAGGGTGTCTCAAAAGTCCGTACTCGTGTGCATTTGAAATTAATTGCAATTTTCAGGGAATGAGTAAGCCAAAATTAGTGCAGAGGTGCTAATAAATATTCAAAGGGAGTCACGTCCCGGAATTGATATGTATATGCAAGTTCGTGGCCTCAAATTTGAACATTTAATAAACTAACGGTAAAGGACATCTGCCTATGACTTTTGACACACCGATATAATTGTTTGAATCCATTTCCATGCACCAATACGTTCAACTGCTGAATTTTTTTTGCATCAAGTCAACGGGAATGTCTCTAATGGCTGCTAAAATTTTCGCCAAAATTTTTTTTTTTTTTTACATTTTCAAAGGTCACATGCTGTTCATTCACTTTCACCTTGTGATTCCCTTTTCACCTTGAGTTTTGTGCAGTCTCTTTCCAGCCAAAGGAACTGAGAAGAAGAAAAAGTGAAAAATAATGCCGTATCAGGTTCTATATCAAAAACTTCTTCAAGTTGATGAGGAAAAATACTTTTTGGGTTTCAGATTTCAAAGAAATTTCTTCCCTGAATTTCAACTTGATATTATAGAGTGGGAAAACTAATTTCTGGTATACTTGTAAAAATAAAAAAACAATTATTTTATCAATTTCTTTCATGTACTTCATAGTTTCCTCCAATATACTGTAAGAGATCCTGCAATATACATTAAATCCCCTTGTGAATTTCTATAAGATTCCTTACCATCTGTGAACCTTTCCAGAGTTCTGATTTTCCATAAAATTTCTGTAAAATATTTTGTGGGATTAAATGAAACCTGAAATGAAAATGAAATGAAATCGGATTTTCCATAGGATTCTGTACAACTTCTCATGTGGTCCCATCTTTAACTTATTGTAAGATTATATATCATTTTTAAATTGGTTTCTATACATATCCTCCTTCAGTCCCAATGGTATTTTCTATATGATTACATAGAATTTTCTATAGGATTCTATGAAAGCAAACTAGAATTCCATACAATTATACAAATTATTCTATGCAAAACTTATGGGAATCTTATAGAAATCCTATAGAGGGGGTTATATAAGCTATTCTATAAGATTCAATAGAATTTCTCATGCACACCCATGAAATTAACTTTTTATGAGATTTTATAAAATATTCTATAGGAGTCAATAATCCTCCACTGGATTCCTGCCTGTAGCTTTCTATAGAATTCTTCAGAAGCCTCCTAGAATTCTATACAATTATATAACTTATTCTGCAAAAAAAACTTATAGGAACCTTATATAAATCCTATAGACAGGTTCTATAGCACATTTTCACCTGGGTAACCAATGAGCTTCTTGGGGTCAGGCATGTGCAGCTAGGCCTATCTGCTTCGTTCAAAAGTATCTCAATCCTCGACTTACGAGGCAAATTAGGCCTATAAGGGTCAACCTTGGGGGGTTCAGAAACATGGCGTAGAACTGTAACGTTAGGCGGACTGGGGGCCTATTGCAATTTTCGCGGGCCGTTTAGGAACGAACGCGTAACGTTAGACCGGTCGTGAGTCTGTTTTCAGTTTCACGGACGATTTCGATGCGGAAAGGTAACTTTAGGCCTATCTGGGGCTTCTCGCACCGTCTCGATCGCGTCTGGAGAGAAAAAGCGGAGGGAAAACGGAATGCATGGTGGGCGCCATCATCGGTATGGATGTCCAAAGACGGAATTTCCGTATCGTAAGTCATCGACCGGTCGCGGCTCACCACTGCTTTGGGCCCATCTCATCCCATCAACTCGGCACAAATACTTCTCATGCGATGAAAAACAGGAGATGCAGACTTCGTCGCGAAGGCAGACGGAGTCACGAGTTTGGCATGACTCCAGCGGGATTTCTGGCATCCGTGGAAGACGGAATTGGAGCAAAGCCTAAATGAACCAGGCCTAATTTCATTCTTCATAGCGAAATCGCGCGTCGCCAAGGACGAAAAGGGGCACTTTCCGGGATTTCCAAATCTTACTTTTTTGTTGTCTCCTTCGAAAAACCCAGCTGGAAAGAAAAAGGGGGAAAAAAAAAAAACAGGAATGAAATTGCCATCCTCCTGTGGGCCTACGGTGGCCTTGGGATATGAGGGGACAGGAGTCACCGCTGCTCCTCCACCTCCAGTCTCCTTGAGGCTTCCTCCTAAAATTAGAGGAATGAAAAATTTTGACCTCCAGTGGGCTGACTCACAGTCGCTCTAGAGTGGATGCATGTGTGGATGCGATCCTTCTGTCTTGCCAGCCGGGTGGACCCTTTTTCTCGCCATTCTAGGATAAATCTTTTGTTTCTGTCGTTGATTCATCTCGTACTTCATTGTGGATCTCAGCAACACAATAACGACTGGAATCTGAATTGCCCTGGAGAGTTCCAAATTTTGCTCGAGCGATGCTGTGTTGCGAGGGTAAGAAGCATGCAAAATCTTGTTGCTCTCAATGAGGAGTAGGGGGAATGCCATTTTTACAATGGGAAGGGGGTATCTCTGGATCAGCTTGCCGAAGGAAAAACTAAGAAACTTGTGAACGTTTGGATTAAACGGGTGCACTCGGGTGGAACATGGGAAGCACTTCGGAGGGAAGTACCTGAAAAACACAGGAAGTTCTTAAAAAAAAAAAAAAAACAGAAAATTGGAATCTTTTCCACAGGGTCTCCTGGAGTCCCAGAACAAACTGAGTCCAGTGGTTTCTCAACTGCAGCATTTGGTAACAAATAGAAACAGAATGAGGATGATAATCAATGGCTTGATCCAAGTCCCATGCATTGCTTGGGTCAATTTCTTCGATTTCTGTGAATAAGGCACAAACAAAATTTTCTCTGGGGTCGCAGGTACTGAAAAGTACTGAAAAGTAAGCACAAACTGCTTCATCTCTTTCTCATCATTAATGTGCTTTCGACTGATCTCCCGAGGGTTGGTCTAACCACGTGGTCCATGAAACCGCCAACGAATTTATTTCTAAAAACCACCACTCTTGGGGCAACAAATTTGTGAAAATGATTCAACCGACCGACAAAAAGGAATCACAAAATGATCATGATATCAAGAAACGGCTTTAAAAATCGTAAATTTAGAGATCACGCCGAAAAGACGAAAACCGAGTCGTTCACTTGGCGAACGGCAACCGCCTCTTGGCCGTGGGGCTGCCCAGCGCCAGGTTCGTCAGCCGCTCGTGCGTCCCCGGGGACGGGAATTCCTCCAGCGGGCGCTTCAGTGGGCTCGCCTCGCCTGTCGACAGAGAGCGGACCTTGCTCGAAAACAGCCGGGGGAACTTTCTCGTCGGTTCGTCGTGCAAACTTTCGACCGGTTCAGGACCGGATGACAATTTAAGCAGGTAAACATCCTCGATTACACTCATCTGGTCCATGAGGTCAATTGGCTTAAAAGATTTCAATGAAGACTGAGATGAGATCTTGCAATGGAGCTCGATCAAGAATGCATTCAAAAACTGCAAAAGTTTTTCCGCTACTTGCAATGAAACTGGATTTTTTCTGTCTCATTAGCACTTGCAGTCCAACATCTTAAAGAGTATGATTCACATTTTGAAACCAAATTTTCCCGGTATAAAACTGGAAAACCAAACTGCAACTGTATTCCTCATGCTTTCCTCTCCCCGAAGTGCCTGCCAACCCACCTTTGACGCCTGCATCGAGAAGCCAATCCATTTCCCTCTCGAGAGGGGTCGGGGTCCCCGGCAAGTCCTCCTCCTCGTCTCCCCGACCGTCGACGAGCTCGTCGGCAGGGATCGGGGTCCAAGGAAACTCGTCCTCGTCCCCCTGACTGAAGAAGACCTGCCTGGCAGCATTCGAGGGCCCTGGCAACACCTCCTCGACAGTGGTCGAGGGCCCTGGCAACACCTCCATCTCGCGACCAAGCCCGACCGTGAGGGTTGGAGTCCCCGGCAAGTCCTCCTCGTCTCGCCGATCAAGAATGTCCTCGTTCGGCAGTGTCGATGGCCTCGCCGGGGGGAACGGGGCAAGCCTTTCCATCAGGGTCGTGTCTCGATGGTGTGCCGGTCGACGAGCGGCACGCTCGAACTCGCTCCATTTCCCTGGGAGTAACATGCCACATCGCTGATGATTCCAATGCTAATGTTCCCCTAGCATTTGAATGCACAAGTCTCCTATTTTGATTTAACTCATATTCAGTCGGCACAAACTGCAACAAGAAAAAGTAATAGTTATAACTTCCACTCTAAGTTTAGTTGTGTTCATGGTAAAAAAAACGATGTTCCAGTGACACTGGTTACTCTGCAGACATGCATAACAGTGGGTGAGAAAAGCCTTTCCTTCTGTGGCTGCAAATGACCTTGACAATAATCATTCACACAGGACATCCACCCCCCCCCTCCCCCCATATCACCGAGGAACCTACCAACGATGAAAACATTCTTCTTGCCCCTGGTCACGGCCGTGTACAGCGTCTGGCTGGTCACGAACTTGTTGTCGAAGGCCATCACGTACAGGATGTTCTCCGCCTCCGAGCCCTGTCGAGGAACGAGGTGCCGTCGGTCGGAGGACGAGGAAAAACGAGAGACTCGGGGACTCGAGGGACCTGGAACTTATGGATCGTGAGGGCGTATCCGTGCTGCAGCCTGGTCGCTCTCTTCAATTCCCCGGCGTTCACCAGAAACCGCTGCCCGTCCAGATCGTCCAGCTCGTAGCACTTCTGCCCGTCCGCACCGATGAGCTCCTGGAACCGCAAAGAAGTTCTCGAGATCCCTTGGGAGCAACATTGTGCACTCGGTTTTTCTGAGGTTACTCGACGAAAAACAAAAGGATGCACGATTATATCCATGCCATGAATGTGTTTTCAATCGTGCTTCAGAAGACTTCTTTAAATGACAAAAGCTGTTATTAAATCGACTATCATGAATACCCTAACGGTACAGCTGGAGGTTGCACGTACGGTAAAACCATATTCCAGCAAAGCCGAAACAGGTGATCACGTGCACATTCGTGTCTGCAAAGTTCCACGAAGACGAGGTTCATAAAGACTCGTGATCTTCCGATTGGATGCTCGACAGATGCCAGCCGAATGACACTACCGCTTCTAGCCGAAAAAATTAGGTGTCCAAAATTTTCTCGCGATACTTTGAGACGATACATTAAATGTTAGGGATAGATGCAGGAAAATTTGGATCTTGGGTCATTCACATCGAGATCACGTGCAAACAAAAGACGATAGACCGACATGGGCTCGAAAGAATTCTGAACTTCGTGTCTCGATCGGTTTCTGGAGCCGGTTGGTATCGGGACTTTCACAATATACACCTTGGAAAAAATTGCCAGGCTTGCAAATCGTTCCATACGAGACAAAAATCTGGACTGCAACAGTTTCATCAGAAACACATACTTGCGAAATTCTGAAGAGGGATCCGTTCATGAACCGCACCGTCTTCGGCTTCGGCTTCTCTCCTTTGTCTCCCGGGGCCGACGCAGAGCCCGTCCGGTCGACATCGTGGTTCTCGGAGCCGGCGATGGGAACGATTTTCCGTCTCGAGCCCGATGCTCCCTCTGTCGAGTGCACGCCGACGTCGTTGTTCTTGCGACAGATCACCTTGTCGCCACGTTCGAAGTGAGCCGACGTGCGTCCCGCCCGATTCGTGCGCTTCGACTTGTGCCCGTTGTACTCTTCGCACGCGTACTCGTTCAGGTGCCCGCAGACGAGGCTGGAGAAGCGTGGGAAAAAAAAAAGGAAGATATTGTCCATTAGCATGGAAGGGATAAGTATGATGAGAAATCTTCCAGAAAGTGGAGATTGCAAAGAAACCAAATATTGAAATACATGTTATTTTTGTCAGACATAAGGCAAGGATGGCGAAAAATTAGCATAACCATCTGCTTTTCTAGGACAGCAACAAAGTACAACTAAATTACAAACTTAAAATTTATATATAATGGAAACCTTTCTTTCTCCCATCCTTCCCACAGTATGTAGTGAACAGTTCGATTTTCATGCGATTCATATCTCAACTTACACGCTGCAATCAACCAGTGTGATGCCTCTGGTAACAAAAATTGACTGAACCAAAAATGGAACAGAAACAGCAATTCGTGAAATGCGAGGCTGAAAAATAAACTGGAGGCTCCAGACTTGTGAAACGCGATGATCTGCGAGGAGTACGGGTCCTGGATCCCCAGTCGATCCTTGAGAGCGAGGATCCCTGCACAGAGTTCCTGGATGAACTTCGCCTTCAGACTCCTCAGGCGGAGGAGCTCGGGGATCACGGTCATCTTCTCCCACTGCGGGACGGATGCCTCCTCCTCCAGAGGGATGAAGTGGAAGCCGCCCTCTCTGTAATGGGAGACAGGTTCACGTCAGAAAGGTGTTTTTTCGTTTCCTCCTTGTTAATGTTGTGACTAAATTATGGATGAATCTTTGGGGGATGAAACAGCAGAATGATGACATTAATGCCGCACCATCAGCGATGTACAGAGTAAATGTGCTTTTGCTTCACTGAAGGTCGAAAAAATACTACTTCCCCCAAAAGAAGGGTTTTCAGATGCCAATGTCATGAATGTCACTAGCTTCCAAGCACGAAATGGACTCAAAAATCCAAGGTAAGGTCATGCTTGATGCATGAGTTGCAGTAAGAGTCAACTCACGGGTCGATCCGAATGGACTCGGGCCGCCTGCGCGAGATCATCTCGGCGTTGCGGACGATGAGTCCGGCCTCGGAACGGTGGTTGGTCCTCAGGGTCAAGGCCCAGCTGGTCCCTTCAAGGGCGAAGTACAGGTCCCTGTCATGGGGAGCACATGTGCAACCTCACTTTAGTGTATTTTGCATGCAGTCCTCGATACTTTTCTCTTACACAAAAACCAAAATGCAGCAAAGAATGCATAAGAATAACTTTAGTAACTTTAGTTTCTATAAGCGTTAATTTTTCTTAATTTTTTTTATGTGTATTTTTCACAGGGGGCCGACAGCATAACAGGACTGTGGAAAATACTCACGAAACTCAACGACTCAAAAATGAAAACTGTGAGCCGACCTGAGGAAATTGCCTGGCTGAATGGATGGGAGTTGGTCCACGTCTCCAAGGAGAATCACCCTCTGCAGCGGAGCCTCGGCGGCGCTCAGGGCCCGCAACACGTCGTAGAACACCTTCGCAAAACGACACTCGGTCGTGACATCGGCTAAGAAGCTCGTAAGAGGAAGATGGAAAGAACATCACCGTGATGGGGACCATGCTGCTCTCGTCGACGACGAGAATCTCGGTCGACGCGAACTTCCAATCCTTCGATCCGGTCTTCTTCGCTTGCCAATAAGACACCAAGATCTGTCAGGAAAAGCACATGCCTCCTATGGGCATCCTCAGCCGATCGGGAGGCACGGGAGGAAAATAGCATCTACCGAATGGAGGGTGAACGCGGGATGCGATATCCTCTTCCTGAGGATGGACGCAGCCTTCCCCGTCGGAGCCGCGAGGAGAACCCCGTGGATCGATGTCTCATCGACACCCTGCAGGAAAAACAATAGGACCCAATAGATCGAATTCTTGTCCACACCCAATCGAACCCCAGGACCGAGACGAAAAATTTCAGACACAAATCACGACGTGCTTTGCAAGCACGAGTTTCTCGAAGGTACACCGTGGAGCAAAAAATCCTTAAGGACAGTGCAGAAGAAAACCACAAGACTTTGCACTGACGCATGGGAGGAAAGAAGATTTTCATAACGAGAATCCCCTTGAATGCGTCGTGATCCCATGGCATGATGGGTGATGAAATGCGGTTAATCCACGATGAGAAATTCTCAAGCTGATAATTTTATTCTCATTTGATTCACTGTACTGCTCCGATCAAGCCAAAAAAAAAACAAGTTGTATGAGGATCCTGCAACAGCAACTGTGAAGAACTTGGGCTGAACATTTCAATATGTATCATGTAAGCCAAGGTGATAGAATATTTGCATCTACTTGCAAAAAACTTGATTTTTGGCATCTGTAGTGAGCAATCCACACACTCAAAATTACAGTCACTGGAGCAGACAGATTATTGTGCAATTTTCATGCCAATTATTTTCATTTTCAAACTTTTAATACCATAAGTGCCATGTTGAAAATGCATTAATGGCAACATGAGCTCTATTAAATTATATTCTTGTGATTTTCCTGAAGACTAATCCAAAAATAGAACTTTTTTCTTCAGAAAAACACTCGTATTTGGAGGGACGCTGTTACGATCACGCCGATGCCTGTGGACTACGTATGTGCAGTTTTAACATAAAATAATTTAAATGTTTAATATTTAATATGAAGTAGTCCGTAATTCGATGGAACCCTCGGTGCAATAAAAGGCGACCCGACTGGGAGGAGCCTGGGTTTTTCGTTCCCGACCAGCTCATGCGTTGGCAAAGGATCATCAAAGATAAAAAAAAATAACTTGCTGCTCCTCCTCTTCCTCCGATCCACACGAAAGATGCAATAAGATTTAATTATGAGAATTTCCTGCCGATTCTGAATTTCGTAAGAAGATATCAACCTGGGAGCCGGGGGGCTTGCGGCGCGCCAGCACCTCCTCGAGGACGGAGGCGACCACCTCCGTCTTCCCGCACCCGCCGCGACCGTTGAGGACCAGCAGCGGCTGCTGCGAGATCCGCCTCACGGCCTCCATCTGGTCCGCATCCTCTCGAAACCGTGCGAACGAGTCGCTATTCGCACAGAATGCAAAGTCAGGACTGGCAACATTTAACCGCAACTTAACTTGCCTTCCTTCCCAGAGGGGACACCGGCATCTCACCTGTCAAGATCAACGGAAAGGGAAGAGGCGTCGTCCTGATCGCCTCCGATGGCAATGCTCTTGAGTCGGTCTGCTATCCCGGTCTCGGCGGCGTGGAGGCGCCGGAGGAAGATCCGTCGACCGCTTCCCACCGGCTCGACGACGATCACGCCGTGCTTCTCCAAAGTTCTAAAATTTAAGCAGGGATGAGGGAATTAAGGGATTTGATTTTAAAATTTGGACTTTCTCTCATTCCAGGATTAGGATTTTCGTGTCTGAATTGCTATGCCACCTTCATACCATTCAACCTAGCTCAATCCCACTCAAGAAAAAGTACCAATTATACAGAAAAAGATCTTTGAGATTAGGAGGTACCTTGCAGTCACAAATCGTTCATTAACCCAATGAAAATCAAACAGTCATGTTGCCAGATACTTCTCAGAAGCATACATCTTCCTCTTTGAACTCAGACTCATGCAACTCTGCAACATTAAATACCGAAAAGCTTAACAATTCACTATGCATCACATCAAACATCGATGCCATGCAAAAGCCACGTGGGCGAGAGGACTGACGAGATCGCTGAGTCCCAGTCGCCGCGCACGCAGATGCTGCCGTTCCAATCGGGACAGAGGAGGCCCTTGAGGCGAGACTCTGGGACGAACGTGTGGCCCCCCTCGGCACAGGTCCCCCTCAGCACCTCGTAGATGCACAGCACGTCCCTGTAGAGGACGTTGAGGGACTCGTAGAAGCCGCACCTCCTCAGGTCCTCGGGGCGGGCCTCCAGCCCCCCGATCCCCGACTCCTCGTACACCAGCTGCAATGCCGTATCGATTCCGTCGTCGTTTGAGTCTGCGATGATTTACCCTATGGTTACGTGAGAAAATCAATGTGTGATAAACTCTTCAATCTCCATCGGTTTGTGAAACAAAACTTCCAGTGATGCGTAGAACATATCGATAAAACATCGTGCCGAACGTGACGTAGAAACCGAATCGGTCTACAGATCTACAATCTCCGAGCGACATTCAAAGTAGATGCATCAATGAATCGATTCTTGCTCGTACTGATTATAATCAGTCTATAGACAATTAATTACTCGATCAGTTACTTTCCGAATGCATCTCGTTCACGCAGGCACACCAGGCCGACTAAATTCTGAAACGACACATATGGCTGTGCAAAAATTTCCAAAGGCTAACTGAAGCAAACCGAGCGAAAGGAAACAAAATTCAAGGAAACTGCAACTCTAAGGCGAAACGACCCACATCTCGGAATCCCAGCATCCAGGGCGACCGTCTCGCCACGGTCTCCAGGGCGGCGAGGGCCCGGGACGCGACGATGCGCCAAGAGGTGTCGCTCCCCGTCTCCTCCTCGTCTGCTGCTTCCCCGAGAAAGAAGGAAATTCGTGAACTCGAGACGAACCACGTGGAAAAATGCTCAAACGTAGAAAAGAACTTATGATCCAAACCAAAGTGACCGTAATTAATATTATCTTAATTTTCTCTGACAACTTTTCTCTGACTCCAAAGAGACAGGGGAATTGCAAAACTCAAATCACAGTGCTAAAATCTCGAGTCTATGGATTGCATTCGAATGTTCAAGTCTCAACCTTTGAGAGGATTCAGTTCAACTCAGTAACTTTGAATTGTAACAGAAGCAAAAAGCAGAAAGTCACTAGATCTGCAAAACCATTCATGAACCAGACCCAATCATAAAAGTTATTGCATCATTGCACTCTCCTAATGTTCAGCAAAATTATCATTAATTTCACATAGAAACAATCGCTTCTCCTAGGGAAATTAAAAAGCCAGCATTCTTCGACCGAGTGCAAAATGCTAACAGTCTGAAACGGGCGAGGCATCCCTCAGCAGCTCTTGCCGTTCCCCGTCCCCGAGGAGGGCCTCGACGGCGGGGCAGGTCTTCAGCCGGATCCCGGTCCGGAGGATCTCGTCCACCTTCCCCGGGAAGAGGACCGGCCCGTACTTGAAGAAGTGGGGGCAGGCGATCCCGGCCAGCACGGTTCGACCGGCGCCTGTTCGTGCGACAAGAAATCTCCAGATGAAGAAATTTCATGTTATATGGCTGGAACAGACAGCAAATTTGCTGTTTACAGCAGAGACAAATGAAATGACAAATGAAATGACAAATGAAATGACAAATGAAATGACAAATGAAATGACAAATGAAATGACAAATGAAATGACAAATGAAATGACAAATGAAATGACAAATGAAATGACAAATGAAATGACAAATGAAATGACAAATGAAATGACAAATGAAATGACAAATGAAATGACAAATGAAATGACAAATGAAATGACAAATGAAATGACAAATGAAATGACAAATGAAAAGACAAATGACACAATGAATTCTTCCACAATAATTGCAGAGCAGAAAAACCACTCAGCATATCGAGAAACCCACAAGTCGAGTTGAGGAGGGCAGCGACATCCACCAGACGCTCCGACTCCCTCGAGCCCTGGCAGCATTCGCTCCTGCCTCCACCGACAGTCGCCGGCGCGTTCCCCCTGGCGACCGCCGCGTGCCACCTCCGCAGCAGGGCCACGACCCTCTCGAAGGCGAACTCCTGCCAGAGCTGGGACTCGCCGAGGAAGTGGAGGAAGGCGTCCATCGACAGCTGGTAGTCCCTCGCTGGGGAGTCCTTGGCGTTGTGCTCCCTGGCGCACGCTTGCAGGAACTGCTGCATGCTCCGCTCCCTCCCAGTGTACCCGCAGGTGTGCAGGAAGTAACCTGTTGCACACGTCATGCCATATCATTTGCACACGTTATGCCGCGTTAATTTCACTTTTATTATGGATGTCACATAAAAAGCATTTATATACCAGCATATATCAAAATTGTTTTATTTCCTACAGGATTTTTTCCTCTGAGCACCTCAAATTTCATCACGCTTCTTATGAGGGCTTGCTGCATAATTAACATTTTCATTGTTAATTATGTACCGTTACTTCACATCAAAATCACCTTGCATTTTAGCTTACCAGTTCTACGAGGATTAAATATATATATTATTGTTACAATTACCCTTAACGTAATGGTGGAACCCGCGCCTCTTCCTGCCTCCCGCCTCGTGGTTCCACTCCAGTTCGACCCCCAGCCACGGATGGACCCAGGGGAAGCGGTCCTTGGTCGCCACCGTCTCGCCCGCCCGGGATCCCAGCACCGTCAGCCGGACTGTGCAACGATTTCACGCTTTAGGATCGACCAATGACAACGATTGTATAGCCTCTCTGCATCTTAATGCTGTAGCCTGCGTCTTGCAGCATTTTTTAAGCTCGACCACCGACGAAGCGCGTTCCGCGAAGGTAGTCCTTCAACCCGCGAAACGGATGACGGTTGGAGGGGGCGGCGCGACGGGTGGATGACAACAGTCCATCGGAATCGTTCGGCCCGCCGCGCGCAAGCGGGCACTAGGAAGGATGTCAACGTCCGGCAATCCAGGCCTCCATAGTGCCTCCAATCACAATGCCTCCACAACGGAGGTCTGCATTAATTTTATTGCTTCTCAAACCGAAAGAGACGGATGTCTCTCTCCCTCGTGGCAACGCCCGCCCACTCGCGGAATTCCAACCGATTCAATGGACTGTTGTCATTCACCCGTCGCGCAGCCCCCTCCGACTATCATCCGTTTGGCCGGTTGAAGGACAACCTTCGTGGAACTCGCTTCGACGGTCGAGCTTAAAAATCCTGCAGGAAACTGGCTATTGCAATAAGATACAGTCTTCTACGTAAGATACATAAAATCGTTACCATCCAGGTGATTATATTTTTGCTGCGATGAAAACGATCGCTTAGCATTAAATTTAAACATTTAAACATTTAAACTTAAACATTAAATGTTTTTGGAACATTAAATGTTTTGTATATAATGTAGTTAGGGGGGAGGGGAGTGTGAGAATGCAGGTGAAGGGGCTTTGGATATTTTTCATCCAGCTTTCGTTGATGTTGCCTTGTCGATATGGCATTATTACGTCTCGGAGGGCAAAGACCTAATGCCTTACTGAAATGTCACATGGTTTCCCTCCCTTACACGGCAAGTGCGAAGAAACCGCACTTGCCGTGCGTTTATACAATATATTAGGAATTCTGGCACTCAGAATACAACAAATCGCTCGGGAGTCAAAGGTCGAGTCGAAACCTGCTAGTTACACTTAGCAGACGGCCTACAGGTGCAATTGCCGCGAATGGAGCCGGCACATTTACTCATTAATCAATGCCTGCCTGCAGACCTACCAGGCGATACCTGCTAGGCGATACCTACCAGGCACCTGGCGGATCCGTCGACCCCGGATGCCGTCCTCGGCCATGTCGAACTCGTCGTCCTCCTCCTCCGACTCCCCGCCGGACTCGCGCCGTCCCGTCGGGGGCGCGTTGAACGCCACGCGCACCATTTCACTCCTGTCACCTCGTTTCACCTGAGGGAGGCAGAGGGAATTTCCTCGTGTTTCGAAATGTCAGGAATGATCGAAATCGATTAATTTTTGCCAGCTTGAATTTCCATCTCGGACCGGATATTTGCCATCGAGTCATGCTTAACAGCACGTGCTTAACAGCATTATGTAATTGTCGATCCTCCTACCCGACCTGGCACTACTTGATCTATCTAAAGCGTATTGTACCACACAGCCAAATTAGCAGCCAAAAATGCAATTTCAGAGCCAAAAACGACATCCAAAATTGGCAAAGGAATTGGCAGACCTGAGAACTTTCATCCGATCTTCAAGCGTGCCTGCATGGTTAATCAAGGCTTTTGTTTTAAGAAACCATGAATAATCTGCGTTTATATATCCGCTTAATTGAGTCACTGTCTTTTATTATCAACAGCATCGCATAGCATGTTTATGCTTATGAGCATGTGTGGCCTTGATCGAGCCATTACTCACGGGCGAGGGCTGCATCATCATGGCTCTCACGTGTAACACGAGCTGCCATCACTGAGGGCGATGCAGAGGGCAGCTGGCTTTTTTTTTTCTTTTTTTTTTCTCTGGTTCATCATAATGTGCCACGCGCTTTGTAATGGAATTACAAGGGCAACTGCAGGGCATAAACTTTTCTCGGTTGATGGTGATCGATTAAACGAAATTTGGCTAATTGAATCAGGCGAGCTGCTATTTTAAAACAAGTTTGTAATCACGGATGAAAATCTAATTTTTTTTTTCTGAATGACTTCTGCACATCTCATGGGGGCAAAGCACGCATAATTGTACAACTTATAGAAAACTAAAGGGAAGAAGTGTCTCAATCCAAGAGGGAATGATATTCAGGCAAAATATTTGCAGCCACTCGGTTGCCAACATTTTCTGATGCTTGGGGCTCATAACTGGGAGGAAATGGAATTCTTCCCTGGAAGTGTTGCAAAAACACTTCTTTGAGCTTCGGTATAGCGATTCGCAAGACAGAGGAGACACAGTGGGCTGAAGTTCTAAAAACGGGATTCATTCAAATAGCATGCTGCATGGAAGTAACACTCAAAAAAAAAAACCCCAAGAATATAAATGTTATGAAATAATACGAGGATGCACACAACACGAGAGTCACAGAAAGAAAGGTTTGCAAAATCTTTGGAGAACTCTGGCGACGACAAAATTTCCCCGAGAGAAATAAGAAACTCAGGCACACAAACAAGAATCCGCGCTGACCGAGAAGATTGGCATCCGATTGCATGCAATCCTCAAAAAATACCAGAATGAAGGAACTTGAATTTATCTTTAAAATATGGATGAATCCAACGAGTCGATACAATTTCTTTACAGATTGCAGAAACAGGATGATAGCGGGACTGACGGATTCTCGATTGCAATGATGGCAGGTTTGCCAGTAACACATTATAAGCAGTCAGTATATCAGGAGGATAAGTCCAGTGAACCCTCATTAGCCTGGAAGTTTTTTCACTCGCTAGAGAGACAATCTCAAGGTGAAAAGCAAAAAAAAATAATTCAGAAACATTACTTTATGACAATGAAAAATGACAATTGATTTTTCTTTCTTGCATAAATAGTAACAGTGATATTAGCAGCATTGATACATTATCAGCATGATTACAATTATCTCAAAGGATTGAATTCATGAATTGTATACTTTCTTCAACTGAGTACTTCACCATTTTGCAAATCTTTTCTCAGGACATAAATCCTAAGTCTTTTTTTTTTCTTCTTCCCAGTCCCTTCCAAACTTCCCCTTGTGCAACTGAATGAAACATGGAAAGAGAAGAATCATGTGAGGTGAAACCAAAAATATCCCATAGACTAGCGGTCATCTTTGAGCTGTCGCTGCCAACTGTGGCTGAAAGTATGCATGCCCAACCATAAATATCACAAAAACATATTTTACACAAAAGGGGTTTCACCTTGATTACCGAGAGAGAAAGCAGCAGAAAGCTCACAAATCTCACACAAAACCAAACCAACGTTGAATGAGATTCAGTTGACAAGGAAGCATTACGAGGGAACAAGGAACACTTTCATTTGCTTCCCAGAGGAAAAATATTTTTCTTAGAGATTTTGTCTTGTCTCAGTTACATTCCCAATTAATGAGAGTTCACTGCAAAAAAAAAAACATGAAAGACCTCACTCCACACACACAAAAGTCATAGCTACTAAAATATGTCTACAGAGTGAAAACGCCATTTCATATAGCTCATTTTCCTTTGCACAATCAAGGCACAACGATAAAAGGTTGGCTCACAACTGGTCGGAATAAGGAGCTTTGTTTGGGCACCATTGAAATTATCACTATGTACATGAGCTATCAACACGTGCTTGAATGGACGGATTAAATTGGAAAAATTAAAGCAAGACAAAGCTTATGCAGTCCACAAATGCATAAATGTATGAGGCAGAGAACTGCATATGGCATGTAAAACCAAACACCTACTCTAGGGGATAAAATAAAAAAAAATCATATCAATACTATGCAGATATAAGGAGAGGAACTCATATAATTGATCAAGATATTATGGAAGTATGCTGATTTGTCATCATCAGAAAAAATTCATTATCAAAGGATACTCTTCACTGAAAAGTTCCATCATCGTAGAAGCCATTCTTATTGCAATCAAAATCAAAGAAGTAATTTCAGAAACCCTCCAGCTTATTAACCTCTACCATTTGATTTTTAAAAATGTTTACAGGGAAACCTGCTCACTGAACCAAGGCACAACTCTGTGGGCAAGACACAATCTATCTGTCAAATGTAGAAAAAAAGATCAACTCCAATGAGTTATGTCAATGTAGACAGATCAAGGATTTCTGGAGTCAAGAACATCATTCCATAAAATGTCTCAATATGTCTTACCTAATAAGATGAGACTACCCTTACAACAACAAAAAGTTCCATAAAATGAGGCAACAGGGCAATTCACAAATGTCCGTAATTTTGATTACAAAGAGGCAAAACCTGACGTCACAACCAGTGGAAGGCACCATGGAGCAGGCACATGGATCCCTGGTTCCTCAGGAGTTTCGGAACGATCGCATGAGGGGGACGAGTGAAGATGGAGATCCTGCCTGTCTTAGGAAGGGATGCTGAAGGAGGTCATACGCCGTCGCCCTCTGGGCCGGGTCCCGCACCAGCATCTTCTCCAGGAAACCCTGCAACCTAGGGGAAATCTTCTGCATGTTCTTCAGCTTGGGTGGGGGCATGTCCCGGATGCGTCTCATGGCTTGGAGAGGAGGCTCATTGAAGAAAGGCGGTTCCCCATCCACCATCTCGATCACCATGATACCCAGGGACCAGATGTCCACCTCTGGTCCATAAGGAAGCCGGCTGATGACTTCGGGAGCCATCCAATACGGTGTACCTACCAGGGACTTGCGCTTGGGCAGTTCATTAGACACCTGAGCACAGAATCCAAAATCAGAAAGTTTCACTCTTCCATCACTTGCTAAAAGGATGGAGTCCGATTTTATGTCTCGATGAATGACGCCCTGTGAGTGTAGATATGCCAGAGCCTTGAGACACTGCTTGCATACAGTAGCAATCTGGATCTCATCCATACGAGCATGTGTGACAATGTCTGTCAGAGCACCACCTTCGAGGTATTCCATCACCACCCACAATTCATCACTGACCAGGTAGCTGTCGTACATTTCAACGATATTTGGATGATGGTAATCCCTCATGATGACAACTTCATTGAAGAGCAGCTCACGACGCTGCTGCTTGCGCAGATCCATCTTCTTGACGGCCACATGACGACCAGTAGAGATCTCTGTTGCAATGCATACAATTCCAGTGGAACCCTCTCCAATCTTGATGAAGTTTTCCAGGTTCGTTCGTGGGTCTCCAGGACTGACGACCATTTGCAGGGCAGCTCGGAACTGCTCGTGTGATAACCGCTGCTGATCCTGGGACTTCCCACCAGGAGGAGAGGGCTTGGGAGCAATGGTCAAAGGTGGAGGCACCTGATTCCCACCCATTGATGGAGAATGCATATTACTTGGCATGGATGAATTGGGCTTTCCTGGGAGAGGCATAGGTGGCTTCATCTGAGGCTTCGGTTCCACTGGCGGCTTTGGAGCGGGACTGGGTGGCTGTCGGTTGATGGATGAATTGGAGGCATACTGCATCATGTGAGGCCTTTCTGGTGCTGGGACCATGAGTGGTGGCTTCTGTGGCATGGGTGCGGGATGGCGTTGTTGGGGACCATAACCATATTGAGGATGGACCATCATAGGCTTGGCAGGTGGCACAGGTGGTGGTGTCTGATGTATCGGGCTGCTCATGGGCCTTTGCTGTGGATACTGATGATGATATAGCTGAGAATCACTATACAGTTCAGGTCGGTGGATGTTATTGTTGTTGTGCTCCATGGGTATCTGATGCATGGAACCGTAACCCACACGCTGCTGCTCGGGGTGATGCATGATGCGAGGCTGATACTCCTGATGATCATATGGGGAATGATTTGGATACTGAGGTGAGTGAGGGGGTGAAGGCGATTCTTCCATCACGGCAGTCGGAATGCGACCCTGGATGCTTTCCCGAGTTGGGAACCGAGGAGGACTCGAGGATCGAAGGGAATTCGATCGAGCTACGCTGGTCACACGTACAGTCTGGCCATTGAAAAAGCCAGAGTCTCCCCTTACCACCGTCTTAAGGTCCATAATTTCCGTTGGGGTGATTTCTGATGGATCAACGAGGGGTGCAGGTCTTCCTTTGGATGATGGTGGGCCAACCAAACTTGCCCATTGTGGTGGCAGTCCCACAAATATACCTTCATTCCTGTCAAAGCCAGTGTGGACCCGGTGAACAAAGTTAGTAGGAGAGGAGATCAAATCAGTTTTCTTCTTCACCTTCTTCTTTTTTCCAAACATTTTTGTAGATTATGCCTCAAAAAGGGTGATTAATCACAAATAAGCATTCAAAGGAATGCCCAAGTTATGTACTGCACTAGCACAAGCCCAAATCACAAGTTTCACCTCATTCTTCTTCCAACTTTAATGCAGAACTCAAATTGGTTCTGGTCCAGACCTGAAGATAAAAGAACTCATATATAAGTCTCTTGCCTTTCTGGTTTGAGCATAGACTAGGTTAAAAAATGCATTTCCAAGACATAAGCAATATCACTTCAACTTCAGGCTATTTAATATACAGACTTAAACTTAACAGCATGCCATAATAGGAAAATGAAATTCATTTAGCTGGATTGCAAGATTTTTTTGACAGATTTTCATAGTATGGCAAACATCTATGACAAGAGACAAGACCTCAAGAAAATCTAACCTGAAATGTAATGAGATATGACATACGAGGAGCAGCCAAATGAAAACTGGGCATGGGGTGAATCACTCACATCCAACAATATCCTGTTTTCATTTGACTCCCCCTTGTATGTTATGTCAGTAACCTTGAATATATCAGATGTTACATCTCAATTCAATATGACTCATATCAATGACACGGCTTTTCATTGCTTATTCCTCTGTGATGTGTTTGGAAAGCTTTTGTCTTCCAACTATGACACCCCATAGCCACTTCAAGCAAAAATTGTAAAAACCAATTTAATTTAATTTGCTGCTTCATTAACTAAGCTGTCAGAACAAATAACTTATCCTTCTTTGCTTCACTCTTGAAGGACTGTATTAACTTACCATGTATTAGGAGTTGTGAAAAGTTACAGGGCCCTCCCACCTCTATCAGGGGTATAGTGACTCAGTGAAATAGAAGGTACCTTCACAAATGACATATATATAAGGTCCAGCACTCAAGAAACTCCATAAGCAGTTTATTAAATTGCACAAATGCCATGAGAGAAAAATAGAATTTCTTGGGTTTAGGGGTCCCATCATGAGAAACAGGGATGAAAGAAGACAATGGGTAATGAAAATGCTTTTGATCTACACATGACTTGAATGTTCTAAAAAGAACTTTTTTACAGGAGTGCAAAATATTGAGCAAAAGCATCCTGAATCAGACAGTAGCAAATTCAGAAATGCTGGATATTTTCTTCACTATTCAACCAAGGACACATGTGTGTAACCCTGAGTCATGGTGACAAAAGAAGATCTTGACAAGTAACATGGGCCTAAAGGTCACAACTATTACAGAAACAGGATGGTTGTAATATGAAGTGGAATTAGATCCAATGGTAAATGCACTTCCAGTTCATATAGGAATCCAGTTCTAATCCAGCTGCCTTCACTGCTGTGAGTCATGCTCCTCATGTGAGAGAAAAACAGATCTCTCTAAAATGTATATTATAACATGTGGCTTCCCTAGATGATGAGATCATTATGTGTTGCATGCATACCTCAACTACCCAGGCTCTACTACAGGCCTTCCATCCTCAGCATATGTCATTCTTCCCTTAAAGGGGTAAAACACCCTGGACTCATGGAATCTCCCCAGCACAACATGAACAATTCAGTCCTTTCCATCGTTACCTAGTGAGACCTCATGACCACATCTGAATACTTAGAATAGAAGTAAAGACATGATGGAACATCAGGGATGCGTGCCAGAACCGGGAAATTCTGACCCCTATTCCTGCTGCTGCAGGATTTTTTAAAGTTTTCTGGTCATCTAAGCCATACAAAGATGGGGTACCCATCGATATATGAATGGGGAGTCCATCCCGTTGATCCCACCGTTACCACTACAGAATCCCACAAAACTTCTTGAGGAAAATTGCGGTAGTGGTAAGTTCGCCCGTAAGACCCAGAGAGCGAAAAATTCTCGACATAGGTCGGGTCTGCTGTTTAGCCTATAACCTCCTGTACACATGAGAGAAAGACCAAATGTTGGCCTGGACATGTGTTTCTGAGTTAAATATTTTTTCTTACCAGACTTACAAGCACTTTCACTTTCTCACTTTCGCTTCGTCAGACAGGCAATTACTACGAAATTTTCACTTAGAGGCGGCGAATGGGAGGAGCTCATCCCCCATCGCACATGTCACAGTCACATAAAAAAAAAACCGCCAAATTGAAGCTGAAAGCACGGAAACCGCCGCAGGCAGCCTCAAGGAGCAGCAAGACGCCAGACACAAAGCACCCTGGAAGACGCCATCGTGAGTAAGGAATTCCCACGGATGCCAGAACCTTCCCACGGATGCTGGATGCTCTCCCGTCACGGCCAACTCCTTTCGACGCTGAAACTCCCATGAAATGCAGAAGTAGGAAAAATCTCATCACGATTTTTACATGCATCCAAGTGAAGAATGAACACCTCGAGTCATTTAATGCGAAAGATAGCACGAGAAGATAAGGTGCTCAAAGGTAAACACGCACGCCGAGTGACGTCACAGTGTCCTCAAGGTCCCGGAAGGAAAAACAACGCAACGTCTCGCAGCTAATTGCAGTAGACCCCCCTAAACCCCTCCGGATCCACTTAATCATCTGCTTTTGAGCAACAGCAGGTTTTCTCCCTCCTATTTTTACCTTGGGAATCTGGCGATGCTGTAAATAATTACAGGTGACGCTAAAAGGTGGCGGAGAACGGCTTGACCCAGTTCGGGTTGACGATTTCGAGTGGCTCGCGAGTGGCTCGAATAAACAATTGAATGGACGCAAATAGCTTGCAGATGATTCAGCGGGTGACACAAACGCGAAATGCTGGATAAAAAAAAATATGATTTAGGTGAGTGGGCCATGAGGGGAGCTATGATTAGGTCGTGAGGGGAGTCGTGACTTGGGGGACTCTTCAAGGATAAGATAATTAGCTTTTTTTTTATATTTTGTACTTCCTTGAAAATGAAGTTGTTCTTGTTAGCCTTGCCTCATTAGAGCAAAGGTGCAACCCAGTGAACCCTTCCAGACCATTGTGCACCAAGGTTCACCAGGAAGTCGAAAACGCACGAATCGAATATGCCTGGAGTAATTCATCCAATCAGAATCGAGGATTCAAATTAGGCTATTTGAAGAAATTTGAGACTGGGAGCGACGGAGAGGGAAGAGGCTGGAGCCATGCCAGCTTCCTTCCTTACGCCGTTTTTTTTTTTTTTTTTTTACTTATCTCCCGTTTCAACCTTTCCTCTTCTCCCTTTTTCACATTTCTATTTTCACCTCTCTGCCTCCTTTCCTCCCTTAATTCTCTCTTTTCGCCGCTCGTCGGTGTCGCATTTTTTTGACGTCGGTCAAGCCGCCTCGATGTCGACATGGTACTTTTTGCACTCAATTGTCGTTTTCATTCACGATCCAGTACTTCTGGTGCTTGGTCAGTCCTGGATGTTTCTAGGAGTTGCATCCAGTACGGAAGTTGCCACATTTGCCGAAATCAATAGATGCGTCGGTCATTCGCGGTGTCCCGTGGGAAAACGGGAAGCACTGCCGCGGGAAGTCCGAGACGGTTCCGACTTTCGCCAATGCTGTCGGATTGGCCGTTTCAGTTTCTAGGGCGACTTTGGAGCTCCGGCGTGACCATGAACGTGAGTTGCGAAGGGGAAAATGCGAATGCGGATGGGGTGTGACTCGTCAAGAAATCGTCGGAAGAAACTTCGGTCCGATTTCGATTCGCTTCTCCTCTTTTTCCGCTATTTGACGCAGCACTGGCTTCAAGGTCCTTCTTCAGTTCTGCGGCGTAGGTGTTCGATAAAAATATAAATATAGCATTTGTATCGATCAGCTACGAAAATCAATCATTTCTTCTCAATTTATTATTTGTTTTTGAATTGCACCAGCAAAATCAATGTTTCTGGAATTCTTGCAATACTGTCCGCGTGCCCACACCGGAAATCCCTGATGCCAAATTTCCCTGTTGGCTTAAAACTGCCACGAGATCCGGCTTCCGCGTCGGAATCGGTCCCAAATGCCTCTGTTTCCGAGAAACCTGACTCACAAACGAGGCACATGCTCTATCTCTTTATTTTTTCAGCACTGTTTACTTTTATTTATTTTCCCTAGGTACTTATTTTCATTTCTTTATGTTCCTCGCCGCGATCACCTTCACGCCTGCGACTCTCGATTCTCTGCTGATATTTTTTCTCCGCACTTCTCGTGGCAAAGTGGCAACGGAGGAAGTTGAGTGGTTGCAGGGAGATGACGTCAATCGCTCGAAAGAAATCACGCCGGGCCTCGGAATTCTCGCGACCGGAGACGCCTCTACCTTCTCCGCCGCGTTGCATCGCGGTCCTCCTCCCGCATCGCCTCGTGAGACCGCGGTCCTAATCCCGCCGGTCGCGTGGGACCGCGGTCCGTGTCACGCATGACCGCGGTTCCTCTCCCGCACGTTACGAACCGCGTTGACCTCCACCGCCTGGATGCGACATCTCGAGTGGCAGCAGGTAAGACGCATCTCACCTGGCTCGAGAAAACGCATGCGCAATGGCGTCTGAGAGGCGAGAGAGAACGCGTTCGTGTTTGTGAGTGCGCGAGTGTGTGTGACCCTGGACGAGGGGGGGGAAAGGAGGGGAGGCTCGAGAGCTGCGTTCCCCTCGTCATTGGACCCAGCCCAGGCCTAGGCCTCGGGACGTTCTCGCGCGTCTCACCTGGTTCGTGATCCCGTCCGACTGTGATATCCCCGTGCTCCTCCGAGTCAGTGCCAAAGCGCGACCCACGATGGCCGGATCGGACGACCGCAAGAGCCAAGTGATCCACGTGCGGGAAGACTCCGACACGGAGCTCCAGTTCCTCTTCGACAGCGTGCTGAAACCCGGAGAAGGCAGTCGACCCAAGAGCCGTCCCTGGACCTCCCGGAACCTCCCACCTTCGTTCTTCCAGCCTCCCAACACCGGAACCCGATCCCCGAGCGTGTCCCACAGCCGGGAGTCCTCCTCCGGCGGACCGGGCTCCGTCGGTCCTCCCCTGCCTCCCGCCATCCACCCTCGGGCTCATTCTTCCCCCGCCACCCTGCAACAGACTTA